TCGTAAATATGAAATGCTAAAGGATAGACCCCAAAATAGATGTCTAAATTCATTTATAGTTGTGTATTTCCTTAAAGTCTTTGTCAGCCTGATTTATTTTAGACCAGGAATGTATTTGAAAAGGCTGCTGTTCACTTCATCTATGCTACAATTCTTCAAAATGTAAATGTGCTATCATTGCTAGTGTTGGTTTAGTAACATGCATCTTCCTGTGTATCCAGCTCTAATAAAAACATTTAAAGGTGAAGCACCTACTTATCAGGAGATCCATTTATTTTTACATGTTATTGTTTGAATTTTGTCTCGTTTCATAACTTTTGCTCAACATTTAAGGGGAACTGTGTTACCCTGCGATCATCTTCATTACACTTGAAAACTTGTACTATACCTCCGTCCGTCTACTTATTAAATGGAATAACATGACAAGATTCTATCTACTGGTTTTTTGATCAAGGGATGATTAGGTGTTGTGAGAAGATTCTCTATGCTTCTGAGTCTGTGTTAAGTTGCAACTGGACACACATACCCACACACAGTTTGTTCATTTGTTCTCAGAATGAGAATAATGTCTTTTAGAGTTAAAAAGTTATTTTTTTTTCTTGATGTCACTGAAGGCTGTGTTAGAAATATATGCAGCTCATTAAAAGGAAAAGTAACTGATGTAACCAAAAGCCTGAACACAGGAGAATAGAGACACCTGCCAAGATAAAGAGCTGGAGCTTTTGCTCCTTTTCAGAGTCACTCCCATGGAATAGGCCTGATGATTTACTAGCTTCTCTTACCTTCTCTGCAGACAATGTTTAATATGAGCTTCAAGAGGTCTCTGCCCCTAACGGGGTTTGCTTTCACTTAGTAAAAATGCATAATTTTTCTGAATAAGATTATTAAGAGGCCACCCATATGGTGGAGCGTTGGTAATGTAACCGGTTAGATTTGTGTCCGACTTGATGCCGACTTGCTCTGACGTCATGCATACGTAGGCAACGATAACCACTTGAGATCAAGGCGGCTGCAGATTTTGGAGCAAGGCGCTGCAGTTGTTCTCCCTCGGCTGCTAAACCTAGGGGATGACGGGAAACGCCTGGCTCTCACCTGATCTAAGATCTGATTGGTTCATATTTTGATCCAATCATCTGGTGGTAGAACATGAAATGTTAGTTGGTCACATGTATTCTGTAAATCATGTAACGTTAATGATGACAACTATATAGGCCATAAAGAGAAATGTGATTTGTGTTCTTTTGTCATGTTTCCTATGAGCACACTGAAGCTACAGCTGCTAACCTTTACTTATTATTACAGTCATGTCTCCATATACAATATATGATATCCACAAGCATGTGAGGATGTGTTTCAGCTGCTAACAGGCACCAGAATTAAAATTGAAAATTGAACAAGTATGAACGCTAACGCGATATCTTCATCCATCGTCACCCCCGAGCTACACATGCAGGAAATTGTGTCCGACTTATGCGCACAGCAGATCTGTTCTGTAACATAAGGAGCCATTGGCTGAAAGCGAACAGCCCTGGCAGAAGCATATATTTGATTGACAGGTTCATTAGCCAATGGTGACGTTTGTTGACCTGCGACGTTAGGAGAGTCTCAAAATTCAGCACACCGATTTCTCTCACGAATGCAGGAAGGTTCACAAATGAGAAGCTGTTCGTGAATGCACCACACAGATTTCACTCACAAACGCGGAAAGGTTCACAAATGAGAAGCTGTTCGTAAATGCACGTTCAGCAATTCGTACGATCTGAGTTTATATTACAAGTGTTCTTACAAATTATATTTGTGAACCACAGAGTGTGAACTTCAGAATTAGCATGTGCATTTGTGGAAAATGTTGCGTGACTTATTTTTTCACATTATATTTATGAGTCAAAGAGTGTGAATTTCCGAATGAGCGTGTGCATTTGTGTTCCTCCGAATTATATTTGTGAAACACAGAATGTGGATTTCCGAATGAACGTGTGCATTTGTGGAAAACGTTGTGTGACTTAATTCTTATTGAGACTGTTCTGGCCTCATACAGATGATGAAACTGCAACTATGATTCTGATAACAAGCTAACAAATTGAACTAGCTCCTCTAAGATAAGCGGCTAGCAGAGCTTCTGGCTGACAGTTTATGTGCAGCAGCAAATCAACTATCCTGATTAACAAGGTTATAAAAGCTCATAAATGAAAAATCACTTTGATGTGTGGGGAAACTTTTCCAGGCCCTCTTTAGCAGGGTGGGACTGGGAGGAGAGTGCTGTAGCCTTTTAGCTGGAAGCTAACCAGAGCCTGGGGCTAACATCACCACCCGGTGGAACACTAGCGACATGGAGGGAGGTGGGTTGGTTCACCGGCACGTGTCGGAGTCAGCCCGGTTATTATCAGCTGCTTAACGACACCAAGCGGACTCACGTTCAGGTTTGAAAGCAGCGCTGATTCCAGAAACCTCAGCACAAAGTGCGTTCATTGCTCTGAGCCAGCATGACGAACAAGGGAACGGCGCCGCTAACTCAGTTCGGGTGTTGCTTTCCATCTTAAGGGTCAACGTAGGGGGCGGGCGTATTACGTGAACGGACCCATCTGATTAGCCGCATATCAGAAGGACTACATTTGATTGGTCAAATAATACTTCCGCGTAAAAAACAGAGCTGGTTTACAAAAAGCTGATGTATGACACGTATGGAAATGTTTGAACCAAACATTTATCGCCGTTTTTGGCGTGCTTTGCGATGGGCCTATCGCACGTCCTGTTATCGCGATGACGATCATTTTTCGATATATTGTGCAGCCCTATGCACCAATATGAAACTTTTGGGCTGATACCGATATCTGATATTGACATCACTGTTGTGGCCAATAACCGATATTTGCAGATACTCATACACTGACATTAATGCTTTTAAAATCAGCAGATTTTGTACTGAATGAAAATGATTAAAGCTGAATTTACGTTGTTATGTACACACAACACACACATTTACGGTTCTGAGATGATTTCATTCACAGTTCACACGACTAAACAATTACACATCATCCCCCTCACCCTCTGAAACAGCTAAACAAATGGAGAAGAGATGGAAAAAATATCGGTTGTTAATCGGCCCAGTTTTATTTATTGAACCGATACCGATATGTTAAAATATGACTAACATCGCCCGATACCAATATTGATGCTGACTTATTGTCCATCCCTACTCAGAACTGTAAATGTGTGTGGTGTGTGTACATAATAATGTAAATTCATCTTTAATCATTTTCATTCTATACAAAATCTGATTTTAGAAGCATTAATGTCAGTACATCGGCAAATATCGGTTATCGGTCATAACAGTGATCTCAATATCGGATATCGGGATAGGCCCTAAAATTTCATATTAGTGCATCACTAGTAACAGCCCCACCTTTAGCTCCACCTCTTTCCCATTTTTGGATTGTCTGGGTGTGGCAGGACCTGTGACACGGTCAAAATGGCGGTGGTGACAACCTCCCATTTGGGCACAGAAACTTATAATTCGAGCCTATGGACATGAAATGTCCAGTATATATGTCGATGGTAGTGACGTGTCACTGTGACTTATAAACATATTTTATAAATTTGCTTTTCTAATAATACAGATGCTGATCAGCATTTCTAGATTATTTTGTCCAGTTTCATTCTGCAACCAGCAATGGATTACATTGTTTTGTTTTGTTTTTTACGAAAAAAAACAACACTCCAAATCCTTGGCTGTATTCCTGCAGAAGATACAAGCTCTTCCTGTTTTACGTAGCTGGGCACAGATCCAGAATAATTAAACCTGGGTGTATTTGCCAAGTCATTAGCACACATCACAGGTCAACTTGCACACATGAGCATGTGAAACTGGTGCTCGCACCATAAGAGATCTAAACCAGGGTCACATATTTAACTGAATTTTCTAAATTCAATTTTCAAATAAAATCCAGATTTTTGTTTTTATATCCAACATGCCAATGAAAATAAGAAAAGCCCACAATATGGATAAATGTTTACAATCGTATGTTTTGTAGACAAAATGCCATATATTTATATCTCAGGGATTTTAATAAAGACAGAAAAAAAATATCTAAATTTTGCAACATGAACAGGTGTAAACTTCAGTAAAATTCAACTATTTACAGAGACAGGTCACTGCACATTCATGTTTTTTTTTCCTGGTAGTTTTTCAGGAAGGGCTGTTTTTCTGCATGTGTAATCTCTAATCACAATATTCAGCTTTCCCTTGAGAAGGTCAGATTTCTAAGATGTGCTGTAATGGTGACACGCAGGGTACGAGGTGAACCACTCATTTTGATTCAGCATTCAATTAGACCCCTGGATGAGGTAAAAGGAACTAAATATGATCACATGAGGAGGTTAGATTAGTGCGTGACAAACAGAAATAAAAAGCTTAAGAGTGCTATTATGTGGGCATTATTCCCACCAAAAGCAGGTGCTCGGTTTAAAACCTAATGCAAATGTATGAAATGCAAATTTTGTCTATTAAAATTCAGAATGGTAGGTGTGTGCCTTCATACAGGAGGAAGGGCATTAGCTTCCACTTCACCCCACAGGTTTCAGATAAAACCCCATTATAAAGCACATGGAAGGGCCAATAAACGAGATCTGATCAGGTTCAATGAAAATAATACAATAAACTGTAATATGTTTAGACTGTAGACTGTTTAACCTACATAAACAAGCATCAGCGTTCTGTCAATTCACGATATATATATTTTTAAAAAGAACAAACTTTAAGGAAACTACAGGATTTTTTTGTTTCAAGTTATTAAAAATGACTCCATGAAGTCAACCACATTTCCTAGAAAGCCCAAACATCGTCCACCTCCCCTAGGGCATAAAGAGCGTGTCTCTGTACATATAAGTGATATTATCCTAACTTCTGACTGTACATAATATCTGAAACAAACCTAGAAACGCGCCTACATCAAGAACAAGCGCGTTAAACAAAAGTTACCGGGTGTTATTATCACTCTGACCTTTATTTTCTCAGTCATGGTGAATTTCAGCTCGTGCACGAAAGGGTTTCTAGCCGCTCCTGAGGGGTAACTGTTTGATGTCTTCATTCTCGACAGCCTGACAAAAGAATATCTAAAATAAATAAAATAAAAAATAAAATAAATGTTTGTCTAAAAAAACTAAAAGCACCGTTTGAGCTACCTTTCTTCGCCAGTTGTGGCGGAGACCGACGCTTCAAACGGAGAGCGCGGTGTTTTTCTCTCTGCGTCTGTCAAGCTAACGAAAGCTAGCATTGCAACTTCCGGTTTAGGAGTGCCAAAATAAAACGCAACTCCCGATGAACGGGCCACAACTAAACTCCTTCATAAAGTACTGAATGAACGTAGTGTAGGCTGAAGTCTAAGCTAGTTGTTATCTGTTTTGTTTTTCGAAATTAGATGTGTTTACAATCAACAACGTGCCCATGTATTTTATTTTGAAATCAGCATCAAACATTGTAAGAAACCAGACATGAAAATAAAAAAATAAAGTCTCTGTAAAGATAACAGATTTTAAATAAAATAATTGAATTCTAAAATATAATTAGTAATGTTTAAATATACTTTACTAAAACTGTCTAATTTTCTGAGATGCTCAAAAAATTGACTAACAGAATGTAATAGTATGAAAGCAGACTACCTATTTCCTGCATTTGCTTCTGATAGAAAATAGAAGGAAAATGCTCGGTTGAGAAAAGCCTAACAGATCTATGTCACACTGTCACTTAACATTCATGGACTCACACATCTTGACTCGCAATGGGGAAGGCTGCTGTTGGTTTAGTGTCCAGGAAACAGCAGAGAACATCTCAGCTTTTAGAAGCTAACCATTAGCATTAGCAACGCCACCACACAACAGGACCCCTTCAGGCTTGTGCTGATTGTGGAGATTTACCATTTGTGGAGATAAAACATCAATGTTTCAAAGCAAGTAGAGTCAGCGGTAAAGTCGCTTTGCTGTAAGCCAGTCAGAGACGAGATTTCCGAATGTCAGGAAATAAGACTCCAAATCCTGCTGTCTGCTTCCACTTTCATATCCAGCTGAATTCTACATCCTCAAACGGGTTCACCGGAGCTTTTTTCCCCAAAGTACAACTTAAAAGTCATTAATTCCTGCTAGAAACCACTGCTAATGTATTAAAATATGAGTAAAGTTTATCTTGTTTGTTTTTTCCAGTTTGAAGAAATGGAATGCCAGCAGTTGGTGCTAGTCATACTTCTCTTATGTTTAATGTTCTGTGAATCCTCATCCTGCATTTAGTTAGTCACAAACAAGAACACGCAAACTCCACCAACAAAGTGTTTCACTTCAGTTGCTGCATCAATAATTCCCTAGATAAACATGTTTTCCCTCATTCAACTTGAAACTTTTCTACAGATTAGACATTTAACTCCCACGCACACAACCATAAACCCAAAGGCGGTGGAATGTGTGTCCTAGATGCTTGGAGTGATCGGGCCTGCAAGGACAGCAGGTATTTGAAGTCACATTTCCTGCCATGTTTGATCCGTCTTCCATTTCCATTCACAGCCTTTCATTTTCCAGATGACAGCAACAGTCCGCGTAAACTCAAGCTTCAAAGCCACAGATGGCTGACTGTCTCTGGAAATTACAGAGGACTTGTTCATCAGCTCTAAATGAAAATGTTCTGTTAATATTAAAGTGTATTGTTGTGTATTCTTGCTAGTGTTTTATTCTCCTTGTTCCTCCACCTGGCAAAAGTTAACCTTTAGAGAATCTATTCACGCAGGGCTGGTCGCACTCATTCTTTGTTGGACAACATTTGCATTTTCTTTGGTTTTTGTCAGGTGTGCTGGGTTTTAGAGCTTTGCAGTAAACACACTGCTGTTGTGAACATGGCTATTGGTTTTGAGAATGAATAGCTTGTTAATCGCAATGTCAACTTATGCCAAGAATCTAGTTTAAAAACGGGATTCTGTTCTGTATTATTTCTAGTCCAATATACTTTGGCGCTCCCTGGTGGAGGAAATATAGAAATTAACAGCTGTCTTAAACTTTCAAAATACTTATTTTATGCAAATATGTTTTTTTAATCTTCAAATAAATGATTCTAGTCTCTTTCTCTAATTTATTCCTGTTGTGTGTTCTATTGTTTGCTGTTTTCTAGAGCTTAAAGGTAAAATAAGTAAGAGTTTTACAGTGAAATGGCAAAAAGGCCTAACTTCTCCATTTTGTTGGAAGGTTACATCGAAACAAATTTCTTTCTCAGAAAAAGAAGTTGGGGAATTGTCAGTTTTTCCTTTTTCCAAAAAGCTAGAGGGACGACGTCTTTGTTTACAATCTGTGAGCCCACAGAGCTGCAGCACCAGCGTTTGTAATTCAACACCAGCCAGAAAAATGCAGTTGCATTTTGGAAAGATCCTAAGCTAGTTAACAGGAGCGGCTCAGAAGTTACTCCTCGTACCCCTAAGAACCCACAACATCTTCATGTTTCACGCTAATGAACAAGGATAGAGGCGAACAATGCTAACAGAAATTAGCAAAAGTCAGCTGTAAAAATACCTTTTACCGACAACTTAACATTACAGTGACACGTCATACAGTATCTTCTGGTGCTGAGCCGTAGAAATTCACTAAACACGAGTGAGAAAGTGACTTGTGTGTTTTAGAAAATGGGCTGCAGTAACCAGATTTGACCACAGGATGTTATTTTACTTTACTTCATTTGTTTATGATGCACCTGAATTCTGTTTGAAAAGTAAAAAGAACAGATGTGAAAGCACAAACCTTTTGCAGGTAATTTATTATGACGGCACAGTTTTTGTAGCCATAACACACATTTCTAAACATCCCAACAACCTAACCCTGCCTCTGCTTGTGTCTGGGATGTGTCTTGCAGAAGACAAACAAGCGTCCCCTCCTTCGCACAAAGAAACAGTCTTTGCAGCGCTTCTTCAAGGCTGATTTGGTTTTCATCCCCATAGAGGGCTGGATGCATGGAAGATTCTGGGACTGTCCCAATAGAGATGGTCCACACTGAGCTGAGAGGACAGACGAGGGGAGCGGGATGGAGTTGATCCTGGCTGGGGATAGTAGCAGTGAACGAGGGGCAAGAGTGAGTGTGCAGAGACGTCTGTAGGCACTTTCTGCTGATAGGGTCATCTGGGCTGCTGGTCGAGTCAGGGATGTAACCAGGTGCTTCAACAGAGAGGCCATGCTGACTGAGGCTGTAAATAGATTAATAATGAATATAACTTTAATCTGCAGACATGCTTCATAATCAGCGGCTGATATCATTTATATTCATGTTTATTTATTTGGCTGATATCATGTATGTTTATTTATTTAGTAGACGCTTTTACCCAAAGCGACTTACAATTTAAAACCTATAGGGCATGTTGTGATCTGTGGGGGGAAACCGGAGTACCCGGAGGAAACCCACGCATGCATGGGGAGAACACGCAACTCCACGCAGAAAGGTCGCAGCCGAGTTTCGAACCTGCAACCTTCGCGAGGCGAGGCAACAGTGCTAACAACTGCGCCACCATGCAGGTTATAAAACTCTGATTTAGCACACAGTCATCCATTAAGCATAACCAACCAAATCTTGTAACTTTTTTAGTAACTGCTTCTTTTGCATGTTAAACACATTTTAAGGCATACAACAGTGTTTCTGTGGGATGGCTATACAAGCTAATGAGACGAGCATGAGTTTGACCTGCTAGCACTAAAGCCAGACGTTTAAAGTTTAAACAGGTGATTTATTTTTGCCCACACTGCCATTTGATTTAGTAAAGAATGAAAACAAACCTCTCAATTGTTTCTGGAATATCCAACACAGGGGTACACCCCTAAATTAAACGTTTTTGTTTACCACGACAGCACTGCAACGCTAACAACCGCTTGAGGCTAACAGAATAGCTTCCGGTGTAAAGCGCCTCCAAGGAGTTTTTTTGCCTAAGTTTTGTCTTACAGGCAGATCTCTTTAATGTCAGGCAGTTCTCTTTAATGTTAAGCAAATTATAAAACCTTTATATTTCACTAAACTCTGCTGTCGTGTATTGTTTGTTGCCATTATTTGTCGCTTTATTTAGCAAATATTTCAAAATAAAACATAGATATGGGTATAGCTCGTCATTGCAGCGTTGTTTTGTACCTGGCAGACACTACTCTGGGCAAATAATTTCTCACAAAATATGTTTTGCGCTCTGTAACGAGTCGGGCTGTTGTCGACATGGCGGCTGCTATCTGCAGAGTTCTGTCCTTCAGTAGGAATACTAAGGTGCTCGTTTCACCTTTGAGGTTCACTGCTGCGCCTGCCCACCAATATAACGTAGATGTTTCAAGTACCGGTGAGCCTATAACTCACACCGGCCAGGTTAGTCTTACACGTTTTCTCTCTTATGTAATAGTTTGCCTAGCATTAGCTAACCTTAGCTAAGTGTGAATGTTGTTGATAGCTCTTGACTAGCCCTTTAACCGAAACGTGAACCGTATTCTTTAAATCTGTCACCCCATGAATGAACTGGATCATCGCTCCTCGTTTAACCTTCACGTTTTTCTTCCAGGTGTTTGATGTAAACGATCCCAGAAGAGTCAGGTTCGTTGGGAAACACAAGGAGGTAAGCGTAATAAAACAGATTAAAGGTAAACAGTAGCTCCAAAATTAATGTGATCACTGAAATTTAAATTAAATATAAAACATATTTCTGAGCCTCAGCATATTAGTGTTGTATAATGCTAAAAACGGGAAACACTTGGCCTTATGTGGAACAGCTGTTGCTTTTTTGAATGTTTTTGTTGTGTGCCATTATTAGGAAAATAACCCCTCTTGTTAATGTTTGTGCTCAGGTGAATACTAACTTTGCCATTAAGCTGGTGGCAGAAGAGCCAGTGTCTTATGTTGAGACCAGAGTGATCTCTTGTGATGGAGGTGGAGGAGCTCTCGGACACCCGAAAGTCTACATAAACTTGGTAAAATCCAGAACACACACTGGATCTCCACATATTCTTATTACTACATGTGGATGGTTGTGTGGAGCAAAGAGGAGCTGCGAGCAGACAGCAGCTAGAGGGATTACAGTTTGTGGAACTGGAGAGAAACTGGAAGGGAGGGTCCATCTTAACACTACAATACTGTTCCATTCTTTATGTATATGGATAAATAGAGATTTTATATATATATATATATATATATATATAGTTTAATACTTATTAAAATGTATAGCTATAGGTAGTTTGTGGAGGGGAAAAAAAGCAAAATAAAAAAAAATAATTAAGTGGTTCTCTTGCATTTCTCGAAAAACTTGAGCCAATACCACAGCTCGGTCTGAAACCGACGAATGGACCGTCCAGTTGTCTGTCTCACCGACTTATGTATTTACATGAGTCCTACATTCACTACGCACTCGCTTATTTAGCAACAGAACACCATGGTAAGAGGTTCTCCGCTCAATAATGTCAGAGAAGAAGAAACAGCCGGCTGCTATCACTTCAACTTTAGGACAAACTACCAAAAAGGAAAAACATTATTTGAAGTCACAGAAAACAAAAGGTGTTATGATGTAGAAAAGGGTGCAGCCTTCATCACTACAGAAGGCTGCAAAAAGGTCTACAAAATCTGAAGGAACTGAGGGTAGATATGAACTTTTACAAATTTTCTAACCAATGTTATTCTTTTAATTATTTATTTGTCTCTATGCAGGACAAAGACACAAAAGTGGGCACATGTGGATACTGTGGACTGCAGTTCAAGCAGAAGCATCATCACTGAAATGTTGTTTTTGCTGCTCTGTATAAAATTTCCATAACCAATAAATTATATCCTCCCTGTCTATTTCAGAATAACTTTCTCCTTTAACAAATGTATGGCGTTACAAATAATCGAAAAATGTAATTGTCTGTGTGGGATTAACTAATCCCTGGGTTCTGTTTTCTAATGTAGTTCCATATGTGACCAACAGAGGTCAGTGTTGTCCTGGTCATGTAGTGAAAGGCTCTTCATCCTCAGAAATAAAGACAAATCAGTAGCTGTTTTTTTTTTTGGTAAAAGTGGAATTGCACTTTAAAGATGCTCCGTTTTGCACGCTTGTCACAGATTTTTGTAAGAAAGATGTGTAATCTCAAGAGTTGTAATGCACCCGCTCCCCACAACCTCACTGTAAACTCCTGCCCTGTCAGGCTGGGACGACTCGAGGAGAGAGCAGGCCTGATGAGGCACAGCAGTGCGGAACAGTACATGTTCTAAAGAAGATCATATATATATTTCATCAGGTTTATTCTCCGTAGACCTCTGCATGCCAAATTGGATTGTGCTCTTGCTCAGGCTCCACCTCTACGCTGTTCTGTCCCCGGTGATGCAGCCAGTGGAACTGCATTTTCCACTCCACAGGGCTCAGGTTGGGGAAAGTTGTCAGGCTGATATAATTGGCCCTGGTGTCTCCTGGAAGAGCGCTGTAGTTAACCTCCCCTCTCATCAGACCAGAGCGGATGATTGAAGGGGAGAGAGGTGCATTGTTAAATTGAGGTTTGTGAGCCGGGTCGGTGTCAGAGAGATGACTGGTTGGGTCTTGCGGTCGGTATGTCTGGTTGGTTCAGAAGGGGATGGTTGGTTGAGTTGGAGGCATTGCCACGGGCAAAATTTCTAGATGAAACTGAGCATATGAATTGTGCTGAATTTCATAGCAGTGTTTGGCTGCACTTTTAAATTATTCACTGCCCTTAAAGCAACACAGTTTTTAACACTGTTGCTTTCAAACTGGTTTCAGTGGTTCTTGAGCAACTTCTCACTGGACAGAACCCTCTACTGACTATAAACTGCACTTATGACCTGTATATGTGTAGCACCTTCTTAGGGTTCTACAACCCCCCAACGTGCTTCACAACACAATCAGTCATTCATCCATTCACACACTGGTGGGGATAAGCTACAATGTAGCCATAGTTGCCCTGTGGTGCACTGACGGAAGCAAGACTGCTGAACACCGGTGCCTCCAGTCCCTCCCACAATCACCAGCAGGGAAGACGGGTTAACGCGCGGAACACACCAGACGCAGAAGCGCTGTGATGCCCCGCAAAGTGCCGTGGAACAACGAGCGCTTCTAATCGGCGCCCTTGTTAACCCACGCTCTCGGTCACATCAGCTGTGAAGCGCCACGAAGGCCTGCGCCGTGCAGCGATTGTTTTGGCGTGAGCTCTAATTCTTTCGTGAGCTTTGAGTGAGCCGCTGTAATTCTTCCAGGAAGTCAAACAAAAGCAGAAGCGGCAGGCTGGTAAGTTTGACAAAATAAAAGAAAATTTTCCAAATAAAACACTGCGATTGATAAAAATGATCATTTTTGTGAATCTAAACAGACTAGAGAGATGAAAATGAACTGAAACACACACACACTCCTGCGAAGAAACATAGCGTTTCCATAATTGTAAATGCAGTTTTCAGTGCAAAAGATGGATTTAACAAATGTGAATACAAACAAATAAACAGAAGCAGGGTCTGTGCAGTTTCCAATATCACCAAGCAGGGCAAACTGGTTGCACATATGCACACAAACACACAGCAAGGGCACGGGGCGGGGTGGGGGGTTAGAAAACAGGCGTGAGCAGAAGCGCTCGTTGAAAATTCTCGCCTGATGTGAACAGAGGAGGAGCAGACAGCGCATGAATTTCGTGAGCGATCCGCTTCCCGGAGCTTTGCAGCTGGTGTGTTCCGGGCATAAGTGTCTTGCCTGTCTCTTGTTATTCCGAGGAATATCAGTGGTAGGTCTCTACCTGCTCTACGGCAAAAGTTGTGCTGGTAGCTAATATAAGGGCTAGCTGTTAGTGGGTTTTTTTGTTCATCAACTGTCAGTTAAAAGCACAAAAATAATAATTTAGCTAAATTGTTGTCATCATGGTGATGCCTGGAAGTAAAAGTAAGAGAGTAGTCCTTGGAGGTGAAGCAAAAAGCTAAAGGAAGTGAAGCAAAAAGCTAAAGGATGCTACAAAATCACGGACTGATAGTGACCTGGCTTTGTTCTAGTACCAGTTGGCTCGTGTTAGCGTTAGCTTAGCGCTAGCAACTACAGGCTGCAGAAGGGTTGTTTATGACAGCTGCTTTTAACCACTAGGAAAGAGAAGCAGGAAATGTACTAAGTGTTGCTATAAACCATCAGCCATGATAATAAATCCTTAGCATTGCTCCTTCAGCTTAGAAAGGTATATTTAACCAGTTTGCACTGAGTCTCATTAAAAGGTTCAGATCTGGAGCTTTAAATCTACCACTACATCCAGTTATCCACTTTCTTCCTGCATATTATTAGAATATAATTGCAAACACAACTCAAAATGTAATATGACCTGCACTTCCAGGTCAGACATTTCTGATAATAATAAGCTCAAATGAGACTAATCACATTAAAAAATGTCCCCAACACTGAGCAAAAGGTGATTCTGTTAAATGCCAGTGAGTCCTCTAATGCTGTGTCTCTCCACAACAATCACTCACTCTTCATAAAACATCCTCCTCTTCACTGTAATTGCCCTATTAAAATATTCCTACTTGAAGATGTGTTCTGTTCCAGAGCCCGAGGCTCATTACGGAACTCTCTGCCACCAATTATCTGAGCTTCCATGTCCGGAAGCCACTCTGACCCAAATGGGGCTCACAGGCAGATCCGGGAGCAGCAAAACCTCTTCAAGTCTGCACTCGGCTGCATGAGAAGCAAATCAGAAAACTGACCTTTGGTCATTGTCTGGAGGCGACTCCTCTCAGCTCTACTTTGGTCAGGTGACAGAGCCTCTGACCTTTACCATGGAAATAATGACTTGTTCTTGTGCCAAGAGCTCTGAGGGTTACCGCAGGGAGCAAGACACCTCCAGCAACATGTGACAGTATTTGGAGGACCGAGTTTGCACTCAGCACTTTGATAGCCCTGGAAAACCAAAGTGTGTGTGACAAGACACAAGAGACTTGGACTGTGAGTAAATGTATGCCAGAGACCGTCATCATATTTAAAAAAAATTGACTTTTTAATAGAAACAACAAATGCTTCTATGACCACAGAGAGAAACTATTAGATTTTTAATGAAGCTAGAATTGTTGTAAATTGAAAGTAAAAAAAATCTAATACACTAAAGGTTGGTTTATGCTTGACGCGTCCGCGAGGTCCGCACGGCTCCGCCCGGAAAAGTTGCGTCATTTTAACAACCACGCCCTTCCACCGCGCCTCCGCACGGCCCAAAATTTCTGCAACGCGCACCTAGGAAAATTTCTAACCACGCGGACGGTCGGACACGGAAAAACATGGCGGACCGGCAAGAACTAGTATGGCAGAGTTTCGCAAATACAGACATTTGTATGATTCAGCTCTCAAAGATCACCGTGATCAACATGTTGTTAATAATTCTTGGAGAGAAATAGCTCGCACTGTCGGAAAAGACGAGGACGCTGTTAAAAATGCTGGAATGCCATGTAGTAAACAGTCATTTTTACTTCTACTATGGTGTAATGATGGATGCATGCCGTAGAGCTCCATGCTGCCCCCTACAGTTTGGGAGAATATTGGCTCACCGCAGAGACAAGCCGCATGAACCATAAACGCTGCGAGTTGTGAAGCGCGTTCCATCCGTGAGCCGCATCACCGCGCGGAAAGTGAATGTGTCAAGCATAAACCAAGCTTCAGCATTCAGTACGCCTGACTGCTACCTCACAGCAGATTAATTCAGTTTTCAGCTCACTTCATATTATTTTATTAGCAGCAGTTCACAACAAAGTAATCTAATTAAATAGAAAATAAGCAACCAAATTATTTAAAAACAGGCTCAAATTTTTACCAGTTTATACTGTCTTCCCCTCTACTGATTAAATGCAAGTTGAAATGAAAATAAGAAAAAATAAATCTTTTTAGCTGGAAAACCCCGTAAGCAGAAGCAAAACAGTGTTCAGGATGCGCTGTTCTCTCCCTCGATCAACTGGGGTCTGAGAGGACAAACGCAGATGGGTATGGGCCAACTGTCATTTATATGTAAACAACATTAATGACAGCGATAACTGAATAAAATTATAAGTTTAAAGGCATTTAGTATGTGCTATGGCAGTCTAAGCCTATAGCAGCGTAACTAAAGGGGTGAGCCAGCCAGGATAACCCATTCTGAACTTAATCATTAATCAAAAGAAAAATCAAGCTTAAAGGGAAAGCAGTGTACCAATGATTCTAGGAGCTATGTTGTCTGAGGCTTTATTCCTCTGTTAGGGTCATCCATGGCAAACAGATCCTATAGGTGGAGGATCAAACAATGCCCAAAAACCCCTTATTCTGAGCAACATATATGGAAACAGTGTTCCCTCACCCAGACACGGATCACCAGGGCCCCTCTCTGGAGCTAGGCCTGGAGTTGGCGCATGTTGGGCTTGGGGGGCTTTCACCCATGGAGCTCGGCCATACATAGCTTGAAGAGGAAATATGAGCAGCTCATCTCATGTGCTCACCACTCGTGGGAGGGGGCAAAGGGGTCAGCTGCACTGCGTGTTGGATTGTAGCCAAAGGCAGGGACCTTGGCAGTCCGATCCTCGGCTACAAAAGCTAGCTCTGAGTACGTGGAGTGTCACCTCCCCGGTGGGGAAAGAGTCGGAGTCGCATGTGAGGTTCAGAGTTTCTGGATAGATATAGTCTGACTCACCTTAACTCACCTTGTTAGGTAATTTCATTTTCCCATCCAGGGTTACCTGAAGGGAAAGCTCAACACGCAGGGATTGTTTTAACAAGCTGATCGATTTAACCCATACCAATCTTTACCAAGAACCAAACAATTTAGACTTTGCAAAGTGGAGAGAGATCAATGAAACACACAAGTCAGTAGTCAATTCGCTCTCGTCAGACAAAGCCCTCCAAGAGAATTTATTAAGGACACACAAGGATGATAAAACGCACACACATTTATACATTCCTGTAGACTCTCGAAAGGGAGACAAACATGCGCTGGCACAGGGCGTTCTTACTGATAAGCCAGGACTGGGAAGATGCAAGGTCAAAGGCCTCTAGTGGTGGTTGGA